TAAATTTATAAATTTTTTTTCAATTACAATTTCAAACCTTTATATTTCAGATACGAATAAAAGATTGCCTCCTGATAAACCTCGTAAAGAAAGAACAGCATTTACAAAGCAACAAGTTCGTCATCTTGAATACGAATTCGCACATAGCAATTATCTTACACGCTTACGTCGTTATGAAATTGCAGTTGCGTTGGATTTAACTGAACGGCAGGTAAATTGATACGATATCTGATAAATTTCAAATTTTTTAAATTGGTATACCGGTAAATGCACTTAACTTGTTCCGAGTCTTATTCAATCACACTAAATATAATATTCGATATAATTAAACAATTTAAAGCATCTGTTCTAGTTTTAACTAAAGTTAAAGCAAAAAATAAAAATAACATTCTACAAAACGATGATTTAATACTCCAATTTTGGAATAAATTTATTTTATATCTGTACTTTAGTTGGTAATTATTTACGATCTTACAAATATACATGCATATATTGGATTTTTTAAACAGAAAAGATTTTAGAGATTTTTTAATTAAGACCCACCCTTTATTTTACTTAAAAAATGAAAGTGCACATTTTGATGAAATCGCTGGTGATAAGTTCTTCCCTGACACTAACACTATCACTAATATTGTTTTGAAATTATAAAGCATATTCAAAGTTAAAGGGATTATCTATGCCAAACTATGAGTAATACTTTGTTGATGCTATTGATGATACCAATTAGAAAATAGCTTTCTATGTACATAAATGCCCAGAGTGTAATTTCCATTGCTAAGATTTTATTTTCACTTCTTAATATTAATTAGAAAAACAATATTGTCTTTAATTTTCATAAGGAAAATTTGACTAACAAAATTATGGAACCTATTTTAACATAATAACTAAATAAATAAAATGATTTAGTAAAGACAGTATATTAATTAATAATGAATAAATATGGTATATTATAGAAAATTAAAATTGTTATATAAATATTCAAAGAATAATTGTAAGAGAACAAACCTTAAATACTTTTTCTTAATATTAACGTATAATCGATAGATTAAAATACAAATCTGAGATATCTATAATGCACTAAATGGGTGAAGAAATCTAACCATAAAACATTTTCAACTTTTTAGGTAAAAGTGTGGTTTCAAAATAGACGCATGAAGTGGAAGAGGACGAAAACAAGGTTAGGAAGTGGATCGGAAAAACTTAATATTTCTTAGGTTATTTCTTTAAGTGTAAACATTTTATACAATGTTTAATTGTAAATAGAATATTACATGAAATCATATAGTCATTAAAAATGTGCAATATCTCTACAAAGGCTGTTACCTACTTAACAGCAGACCATCAGAACAAAATTGACATATTAAAGGTTATTGCCCACTTAACATCACAGTATCAGAACAGCATCTTTCAGTTGTCCACACATCGATACGAACCAACTTTATTAATTTTTATTCATCATCGCGCTGCTAGAATTCGCGCCAAGAATTTTGCTGTTGTCGAGGTGATACGGAGAAACGTCGATGCAGTGCGGTTATGGACAGGTGAACGCATTTAAATTTAAACTATATATAACAACGTGAATATGTCAGTGTTGATCTAATGCTGTTCGTTTGTTGTGCTGTTAAGTGAGCGACAGCATTAAGGGGTTCTAAAAAAAAAAAAAAAGTGAATATTCTTGAAATAA